ATTGCGGAAGTAGCAGTTCCGCGAACTTGCATACCGATCAGCGCCAATTTGACTCCCCGCTCGGCGCCTCTGTCTCCACGCCCAAGAAAGGGCAACATTACTCCCGGAGTGTCAAAAGAATACACAAGTGGGTCTTCCGATAGTTTCAGCCGTGTGGAAAGTGCTCTCGTCAGCCCTGGTTGTGCGGAAGTGCGAAGGGCCTTGGGCGTTGCTAGGCATGTATGCACCGGTAGTAAATACATGATAGATGGAAATATTAAAACAAAACGTACGGCGGGGGATACCGACGTCTCTTAAAGTATTTAACAGCGTTGACTTGCCAACATTAGGCATGCCAACGACAAGTACATTCAGCTCAGGTATGTGTGGGTGTTGCCGACCAATATCTTTTTAAGTTGGATATATGAACGGCTCATTTATCAAGCAGGAGAGTAAGCCGACGTACTCACAAGAAGGCCGCTAAGCATTTTGAGATCCTTTGGCCTTTTCCACGACACAAAAATTGTCCGCTGATCAGGAAATTTTGCGGCCATAGCCCTTTCGAAGGGCTGTGCCCGCAAGTGAGACGCAATGAGCGGTTCGCGACGAATAGCCGCAGGACAAATAAAATCCATACCTTGATACCCCACTCCGGGACGAGGTCACACTTATTAAACACGACGATACGCTCGCAAACACGTGCACCAGTGAGCGGGGAAGAAGAAGCAGCGGCGTGTTTGGGGAGCTGCACCCGCTCCGAGCGCCATCGGTTCAACGCACCTGTGCGCGGTTGATCACATTAGCGAAAGTGCTCCACAATAATCAGGTCCCGAGACGCAAGTAGTGCGCGAGGAATAGGCGCGAAAATCATGGGCGCCTCGTGCCACGCCTGCTGCTGGACATGACCGCGCGGGGTTATTAAACGCCAGAGAAGGGAAATTGGTGCTGGGGAACCTCATAGGCAATCGAATCTCCGAGCAGAGAAGAATCAGGGCGTTCTGATCAGCCACATGTGCAGCCACGCCCAGCGTTTTGCATAATATGCTGTTTTCGTCCTCTGCCTGTCTGGGGTTGCTCTTACGCGTATTATGCAGCATATGAAGAACACGTGGGGGGACTGGCTCGCCCTCAGGGTCATCGCTCGCAAAACACACCGTTATCGTCGGCGTGTGGTTCTTTCCACGACCTTCGTGACGCAATCACTGACCTTCGAAGTTTCTATTGACGCTTGTGAGTGGGAGTCGAGCGTCCCGCAGCTCGAGAACGACGTCCGTGCGAGTTAGCAAGGTGGGAAGCATGCGAGCGAATTGCGTCATATGTCCAGGATACCACGAGCGAGGCGGTGGCAATGGTGGGTGCAGAAAATGCGACATCATCGTGGCAACGTCGGATACGGAGGAGGGTCTAGATGTGCACATAGCATCAGTTTCTGCATCAGTTTAGACGGTTGTGATCGTGCATGCGGGCGCCGGCGGAGGGGGTGAACAACGTCTGATCGGTGCAAAGCGCTGTAGAGATGCCAAAAGAAAACAGACAAGCGAAATAGTTTGACGTACATTTTGTTGCTGAGAAGTGGAAGGGGAAGATGCCCTCTGCCACGTTGACGCCTGGGCTCACACGGCCAACCGCGCCGGGCTGGTGGGTCGACCCAATATGGCGACTTCGATCGTGGGAAGAGTGCCAGGGTCGACGAGAGTTTGGCGTCGCATTGTCCCCGACGCTATCCGCATCCAGGTGACCTCTCTTCCTGCTAGCCTGATCCGGATCCTTGCCGTCCTTTTATTAATCCAGTAATAATCGTCTATATCAATTCTTCAGATCAAAAGGTCTCTGGTTGAGGCGATAATCTACTTTCAAGGACAAATACAACGAAAACATAAGAATGATGTCTTCACGGCAGAGGCAAGAGGATATTGGCTGCAGAAATAGAACCCGAGGCGTATGAAATACATGAGGATGGTACCGATGTGTGAAAGATCGCGCGCAAAGCCAGCATAACAGAATGGGAATGAGGGGATATACATCAAAACAAACCAGAGCAGGAGAGGGTTGAATCCAGGAATGTGTAGGGGAAACAAGCAAAGTGCAGATGATGGAATAAATAACGTTGCGGGCAGATGCACACACCATAGCACGTGGCACTGTGCTGCTGTGCCACTCGTTATTTGTACGCTGAGTCCGATGTGTCAGGTCAGGCCCTGACAGGCCGGTCAACTCGGAGTCAGGAGCACACACCCGACAACCTAGACCCACGAATCTTTTCCGAGCCCGATCGCATCAAAACTCTTCCACTCCGAGTCCGCCGCTCCTCCAACACTTGAACATCATCGAGCTTGATCAATTTTTCAGATGGAGGTGGCGACCCCTCCACCCAACCCTTCCAGCCCTTTCGTGCTGCGGGACGCTTCTTGCGAGATCGTCGACGTAGCGGTGCTACTTCGGTGATGCCATCCGACTCGTCCAGATCGGAGTCATCATCGCCGGGAGTGTGCGGCCGCTTGGATGAAGTCCGGGATGTGCTGGACGAGATTGAGGGACCGGGGGTTGTAGGAGGGGAAGAGGGCATAGGTGGCGGCGTGACCGAGACAGAACGCTGCGTGGTGGCCAGGCGCAACACCGGCCGGGAACCCCAGGCAGAGGAAGAGGATGTGTTGAAAAGGAAATCGTTGGCATGTAAGGTGGTATCGGCGATGGAGGGAATAGTATCGTGGTGGGCGCCCGATTCACCATTTACGGGCTCCTCCTGGGCCGATTTGGCCCTTTTCTTGACGCTTTCGCGAGCCTTCTTGCTCCTCCGCCTTTCTCGCTTCAAGTCGGCCGTTGACTCTACAGCGGTATAGCGGGGGACGCCATTGAGAAGGCTTGTGAGCACGTCCCTAGTCGGTCGAGGGTCGAAATCGCCCGCCAGTACGGAAGTAGCGGTGCGACGACGACGTTTATAGGGAGGAATGATAGAGGGAAGTGGAGGAGGATAACGGCCATGTTATCGAGAGGAGAGTCAGAGTGGAGGGCTTGTATACCCCAGTTGTTGGGTGGAGCGGGTGAGCGTGGTGGCCTAATAAACAGGCGACTGAACGCCGGCTGTTATACTCGGCGAAACGTAAATAATAACCCACAAAAAGGCACGTGGTTTTGTTTACCATTTCCCACCGGATAACGTCAGATATGGCTCCATTCCACCCCCGTTTTCAGGGGTCTTCGTCCATAAGATCTTATCGGCCTTTTTTGTTATTTTTTATCTTTATTTTCTTCCTGCCATTTCTTTCTTTGGCTTATACGCGGCGACGTGCCACTGGGCGCAATCTGCCCTCCACAATTCATTCATGCCGCCCCATGTCCCGCCCGTCTGGTCCATTTCTCTTTCGGTTGCTGTGGAGACACAACACAATTGTCCCCCTACCGCGCGCAGCCCTAGATCTTCTTTTCCCGACAGCCTGGACACGCACATCCCCTTCAAGTTACTGTCAGTGCCACCACCGTCTTTTACCGTCCCAGTCCGCTTTCACAGGCACAGCCAAAATTTTAAATTGGACCTCAAAGCTGTACTTTTTGAGTTGCACTTCAAAATTACGTGAATGTAAAATAATCCATCGGAGGGGTCAGAGCTAGAATTTGGAAGTAAAACGTCAAAGGACAAGACAATTACCGAAAAATGCAATATATGGGCAGGTTTGTACGGGCAGGTTTTGAGCACATGCTACACATCGTTACTGATAAGGAGATGATAAGGAAATGACTATATCAAGATGTTAGTCAACTCGATGAGCCTTTTAATCGTCATTCTTGTCTGAGTTGTTGTCTGAGTTGCCGCTGCTGACACTCTACCTTCTTTTGTCTGAAGCCTTTGGAATATCAACAAGATTATGCTTCCCTGGCTTTGGCATGGTTATCCCCGATTTGCTCGCACTAACTACATCAACTTTGCTGTCATCACCTCATCATTCCATCATCTGTCTCTATAAGCCGGCTCGTTGAGTGTTAAACTCATATCAGCTGATGGTCCTTTCACAGCCGCACCTGTCGAGGACATGCCGCTCGTCAATCTGACTGATTCAGGACTCACACGCAAAATTTGACCCGGACGAATCGTGACTAAGAATTCGTCCGAGTCCTGCGCGCAGCTGCGCAGTGCTATGGCTACTGGTAAGCTGCACACGCAACCTCTCCTGCCGGAACGGATCCTCGGCCACAATTAAATTTAACCCCTTTACCTAGATTTCTATGAAGCTTTCAGATATTCTCGTTGGGGATGTATAAGTGTAAGTGTAATGCGCAAATTTTTATTGGCAGGAGAAACGCTCAATTGTGTGAAGAAGAATTAAGGTCCGGGGATAATAGACTGTAACCATCTTTGGGTACTCGCTTCTGGGGTATTCTACCTGGCTCCAGCCTCGAGGCTCGAAGCCCCCATTGTGAATGACTCGATTAGGTAGCCTGACGGCCGCAAACCAACAACTGTCACACAGAGTGCGCGCCAGAGTCAGCACCAGCGCTGTCTGTCTGTGTGACCCCATCAAAAAGCGTCTTGCTTTGCAGCAAACGCCGCCATTCCTATGCTTTTTCGTTGTGATCACCGATCGTGCATCACCGCAGCGCTATGACACTTGCTGTGCCGGGTTTTGCTGTGCCGCAGCTGGATAATCGCCACGCACAGTTGAAGGACTCGGACGGCCATCATGAGATAATGATGTGGGGTGGCGTGGGGTGGCTTCTAGTTTCCACATCCACCCAGAGATGGCCAGAGAAGGGCCAGAAGCGCCGCCACTAGAGGCTGAGGCCCAACGGGCGGCACTTCCTATGACTCAGACCCTGGGCCGTGGAGAGATCCGTTTGCCGCACTGCCATGGGCGCCCTTTTGGACCTGGGTGGTCATGTGTCCCCCGTTATTCTTTGTGATGCCCAAGAAGAGCAAAGCTTGAGATTACGGCGGTGTAGTGGTTCGGAGATCAGATCAAAAAGATAATAATGTCGCTTTGCTCCTCTTTACCCTCGAAGGCGCTCCGCTCACCACAAAAAAAGGATTCCCATTAGCCGACTTGAACGACTGACCTCGTCATTATATAAGCAGTACTAGTGACGCGCTCTACCAACTGAGCTAAACGGGAATGAGTGATGGATTGATACTTGCAAATAATAGGACCCTACTTTATTTTTAGGCAGCGATGATCACTGAATCCCATTTAATCAATACAACACCTGTCCTGAACCCTGTTTGGGTCAATGAAGTTCTCATTCTCTGTTAATTTATGTCCCGCCACCGATGCGTTAATACATTGTCAGTGAGCACTAGGAGCCCAAAGGTTTCGAAGCCCTTAGAAAACTGGCGCGTTACGGTTCTCCTCGCCCGCAATTTCAACGCCAAGACGAAGATCCACATTTCCTCAGGATCGCATATCACAAGTCGCCCGTCGTCCCACACCTCGGTCTCCGACTTAAAGAGACAATAGTCGGCTGTAGGATAGGTTCTAGCAGACCTATTGCATCCTCTTCATCATCTGCGCGTAGGCCACAGTTCCCTGCCACCAGGCAACGAAACCAAGACCCAGGAATCCATGCATACAGCCCCAAACGATTTCTGGGGTGACCTTGTACCTAGGTGCCACAGAACGGGATCAGCTCAGGTATACGTACGTGTGCCAGCACACGGGAGCTACACTGACGACTCAAAAAATGCACCGAAGGAGAACGGGATGAAACGTGGAGCTTGGAAGAGAACGGTCGATACGATGGTGTGATACACCAGAGACCAATGGCAAGGGCTCGCTTCCCAGGAAGGAACTCTGGTATATTTGTGTTTAGCCGCTGGCGCGTGCCACGTATGCGCAAAGGCGACAACTCAACTCACCTGGCAGAGGATAGCAAAGCAGTGCAACAACACAGACGCCCATCACCAAAGTCGCGTACATCTTTCCAAACCGCGCGCGTCTAAGCGGGCGCCGATTACACCCGGGAGTTTTACTACACACGCACCTTCAGCATGACGAGCGAGGTGTTGTTCAGCTGGAGGAAGGGAAGGGACGTGGGCGCCCAGACGCCTTGGACGGCCAGTGGCACCTCCAAGGCGATATGGAGCAAGAACACATTGGAGCTGACATGTCAGACAGACGTAGTGAGCTAGTGCGGCGGACGTTCCCGCGACAGGTTGAAAGGTCAACGTACAGAGGACTCCGCGCCGGCTGAGACATCGTCGTTCGTTGTCGGTGATACGTCGATGGATGGAGGGGAAGGAGGGAAAAAAATTATTTACACAATTGACCACGGGACCAGGAACGGTCCTCCCAAAAGGGGAAACCCGGATCTGAGATCTGCATTCTCTCATGCATGGTTCGAGGGGTGAGATCCGATCGTTATCTATCGTCGGTCGGTCTCTGAACCTGAACCTAAATCAAGATGATTCCATTCCAATCAAACCGAGCTTGGGGCGAGTCATAACAGAGCAATCGCTGTCTTTTTTTCCACTTCGGCGGCCAACTGCGGTCTGCAGTCGTTCTCCGCCGGCGAGAGGGAAGGAAGGTCAAGATCTCTTGATCGACAGTTTACTAAAAAGCCGTGCTACCACTGGGTACCGGGTTCCTACACCGATCCTCCCCATCATCGAGAGCAGGATCGGGCTTCTGCCTGTGTCGAAGCTTGTCTACTTGGTAGTACATAAATGCCGCAACATATAGATACCTCCGGGTGCTTACAAGGCGTCTCCGCAAACGCTCCTTGCCCTTGGCCTCGCGAGTTTGCAATATTTTTTCCTTCTTCGTAATCGACAGATTAGATAACCCGTGGATACCTATACCGCCTTTCGGCCTCGCTGAATGGGTGTAGTAGACATGCTGGTCCACATGACGCCAAGGGGCTTTATTTAATTAAGAAGTCTCCGGTTCTTTCAGTTCAACGCTTCGAAATGTCTTCCCTTTCACGACCGTTTTTTCATCACGGAGCAAGTAAAACGTAGTGCGATGTAATGCGGCGTTGGCGTCACACATGACGCCCTTCTCACGTTCATTCCCGGGCGTATTCATGATGGCTCACTTGTTCGTGAATTGCAGCTTCGGGCTTCGGGGACAGGTGCACTGGCACCCAGCGGAGGAGACACGTAAAGCCGCGGAGCTGGGGGTGAGAGGTATCCGTGGTAGTCGTTCGTCCTGGTCTTGTTACTAGCGATATGTCGGACGCAGTGCCGACAGCTGTGCGTGAGCCCTCCGCGCACTTTACTCACATATATGACGGAGAAGGGAAGACACGGAAAAGAACGTTTCTCGCCTCTCTATGTGCTTACTGTGTGCACTCACCCGCCTTACCTCCCAGGACGACCGTGACCTCTAGCATGTAACACGAGAAAGACATATAGCGCCGGCTGAAATGACTGGCGGTGGTGCTGTGCTGCCTAGTAGGCTGAAAGTACTTGCGGTCCGGTGGTATGTATGACTAGGAAAATTAAAAAATAACTTCGTGCGGTGTCACCGCTCGGATCTGCCCCGTGAATGCCACGATCGGACCAATAGCGACACTCCGCGAGAAGCGATTGACAATAGACGTGGTAAATATGACGGGCGCTGGTCCATAGCAGACATGCGTATCCGGGTCAAAAGGAGTGGTGTACAAGATATAATTTGAGTGAATCACAAGTCGTAATGACCAAGAAAGGCACAAACGGCCAAGCGGCCTCCGTGCCTCAGACAGGCTGAATGGACACAGTATCATCCGAGTAGCGCAGTCTCCACAAGCGTAAGACCCTTGGGGATACGTTCGTGACGTAGGATAGTCGCCCGAGACACTGGCCGCGTTTTTTTTCATTGTTTTGGACGATCAGGACATATAGACATCCCGAGTGGTAGATATCTTAGCCACAGCGCATCGACATCAATAAAGCCGCGATCATAGACTGAGAGTTCTAGCGAGGCCTAGTTCCAGAACAGGACCAAAGGTATCTGGGCGCTCCGAACCGAAGATCAGCAAAGAAGGTACCCGATTCCATGTCCAAGCCTAGTTTTGCCTGTTATTATATCTTGGGGAAGAGGGGGGGAAGCAACCATCGAGCTTAGAGACTAGGAAAGATCTTATCAGGCTGGTGTTAGAAGAACAAAAAAAGAGAACGGGTGAAACGGAACACAACCGAGGTTAGTGCCCCTCAGAAGCAGATGACGGGGCAGGACAATAGGTCAGTCCGTCGGAATCCCACAGAGGGGATTTATCAAGAAACCGTGCAAGGTTGCACAATACGTCGTCACGACGTTACAAACAAAAAGTTCTTTGCTGTCAACTTCGAATATACCTAACTGTTACAACGCAGGGAAAGGCATGTCCTCTCCCCACGCAAACCGCGACTAGCGCCCAGACATGTCACTGTAAGTAAAATCAGTAATGTTACTCCGCTGCATCCTCTTCCCCATCGTCGGCGTCATATGTGTTCATACTCCGACGCCAGGGTCCAAGCTCGCCAAAATCAACGTCGCGTTCTAGATCAATACCTTCTTCGCCCTCTCGCCAGATATCTTCGCTGATAAAACTACGCAAGCGTCGCACCTCAGAACGGAGCAATGCCATCTCGTTGTCGCGTTTTTCAACCTTTTCTTTGAGAAGGCGGATGTAGTCATTGCCACAGCGCAGAAGTTGTAACTTGCTGATGCCCCGGTTTGGTCCATCTGTGTTGCCTCTAGGTGGCCCGCGGGGAGGCATGGCCCCCGGTAGAATTGGCTCATCAGGATAGCCTTCTTCACTCGGCAATGGAATAGGAGGAAGTAATATACGCAGATCGTCGAACGTTGTCTTCAGCGAGTCACGGCGTTTTTGCTCCGCGGCCTTATGCGACGTTTTACGAAGGACAGGAGATGGTAGGGACGAAGAGGTGAGGGAATTAGAATACATATTCCCAGCTACACCGAGAAAATCAGCGCTGAAGAGGAGGGAGTAGTAAAGCTCAAATTACCAGGCAATATGGGTTTTAGGTTTGGGCTGACGAGTGTGACTCCGCTGCCTTTTTTGGTAGTAGGACCTGAATGGGAAGCATCTTTCCCACGGCCTACGGATTTGCCCCTGCTGTCGCTTTTGTTGGGGGTGCAAGACCACTATTCATGCCAAGTCCTCCAAGATTCATGATACTCGCAGGAGTAACGGGCGTTATATTGTGAGCACTTGCAGTCGTTGAGTTTGCGACGGGCAATTTACGGAGGAAGATGATGCGTTGATCTCGGGCTGAGATACTGGTCGCCCGGGTGGCGGCATGGACAAGTCTACTGGTGACGGCGTGTCCCCGGGCACATCGGCACTGCCATTCTTTTGTCCCCCTGCGCGTGACGAGCGCAGAAGCGGAGTCGAAGATGCGGATTTCGTGCCGCGCCGTGCGCGCTTTGTGGAGTTCGGGGTGGATGGTACCCGTGGAGTGGGTGACGGACGCTGTCGCGCCACTTTTGCCCGCTCATCCTCAGGTGGTGACGCAGTACGCTTACTACGGCGGGAGTGCTGAGAAGCATCGGGTTTATATGCGTCCATCCAAGGACTTAGAGGCGAAAGGTCAAAGTCCAAATCACCAGGAGATGGCAGGGCATTGGGGGCGTTGTGTCGAAGACAATGTTGCCGGCGCGGAGCGAGCGTCATGCGAGGCCGGCATGTGATGAGGGGGGAGGTGCATATCTGGAGGGAGCTGTGGCTGATTGTTGGTTCTATAGTGCGAGGTATCGTCGACATAACCGAGGGCGATAGGGGAGATATAGTCTGGATTTGGACTGGATTGAGCGTGCAACTCGGCGGAGTTGACTGAGACATATTAGTTTCACATCCCCATGAAGTGAGCCAAAGACTGCACTCACCAGGTGTAGGAAGACCAAGGTAGGGGTTTTGAGGTTTCTGACGCTCGCCCGAGCCCTCAATGGGAGATGTGGTGCCTTGGCCATTCAAAAATTCGAGCTACAGGTATCGGCGATGAGGGCGTCGACGCAAGGTGAACGTGCTGGAGAAGTGAGAAGGATCGGACTTACTTGCTGCTGAAGGATCTGATTCTGTAACTGCAGTTGCTGCAACTGATTAAGCTTGAGACGCTGCTCAAGCACGAGCTGAGGCTATACTGGCCCTGATTCATTGAGCCAGTTTGCTGGCCTTGCAAGCCGATGAGTTG